AAAAAAAAAAACTTAAAAAAACAAATGATCATACAGGGTCCAGCAGGTGGCCTAGTGATTAAAGCACTAGATTCCCACATAGCTAACCATGGTTCAAGTCCCAGACCTAGAAGCTTGAAAATCATGCTGGGCATGTGATTCCAGGAGAATGGAGGAAAAGGGATTGTGGTATGGCTATGCCCCTGGGGAATGATTACTCTCTTTTCTTATCACTGTCTCTCTCTGGTGAGCACATGCATTCTATGGTAAAAAACTAAAAAAACTAAAAACAAAAAACCACTTTAAAAAAATCATACAAATAAATGTAGAATTGTACTTATAATAAATGCAAGGAAACTGACATAAATGATGACATCAGAGCAATAGCAGGGACCTGGCCTGGGGGAGCAGGGAAGGCTTCCCAAAGGACTGGTATTCTTAGGATGAAATTATCTGCTTGAAGAGTGATGTTTTGCTATTTTAAAAGCCATGGGAAAGGGGTTGGCAAACTCAGCATGTATTTTTTAAAAAGAATTATTAATTTAATTTATTATTATTGTTATTATTATTATTATTTTAAATCACCAGGGAAAGATGGGAGGTGGGGGAGTGAGAAAGACCAGGTCTGCGAGATTCAAGTGCCTCAACTACCACACCACCTGCTGGTCCCTCAATGTTTTACAATGAAGCACAGATGTGCCAAGGACTGGGCACAGAAATCTACCTTTTATTGATAGATTTAAAACATTCAGAGATCAACAAATGGCTAAATGGTTATGTCACTGGACTCCCACATGGCTGACTGACCACAGTTCGAGTCCCTGACCCAGTGGCTTCAAATTCATACCAGGCACATGTGTATGCGTGCCCAAGATCCTGAGAGGAGAATGGAGGAGAAGGGATTGTGGCATGGCCATCCCCCTGGGAATGATTTCTCACTTTCTGTCTCTCTGTCTCTTTATGTCTCTCTGGTGAGCACATGTGTCCTATATCAAAAATATCTTAAAAAAGAAAATATTCAATAAAGCAAAATTAAAAGAACCAAAAGAAAAGGAGAAAAAAAGAAGACAAAAAACATTCAACTCTTGCAAAGATGTTATAGTACTTTGCATATTAAAAGACATTTTCTGGGGGCTAGCAGGCCATGCAGGACTCCCACATAGCTAACCATGGTTTGAGTCTTAGACTCAGCAGTTTGAAAATCACACCAGGCAAGGGTGTGTGCATGTCCATCCATCTGGGAGGTGATTTCTCACTTTACCTCTCTCTGTCTCTCCCCAGCAAGTGCACATGTCCTATGGCCAAAAAACAAAAAACAAAACAAAACACACACACACACACACACACACACACACAACAACAACAACAAAAACAAAAAACTTTCCTAAACCACTTTTTTTATTTTACTTTTTTTTTGCTATAGGGCACGTGCGCTTGCCAGACAGACAGAGACAGAGAGACAGAAAGCAAGAAATCACCTCCCCAGGGGGGATGGCCACACTGCAATCCCTTCTCCTCCATTCTCCTCTTGGGATCTTGGGCACATACGCACACGCACCCGGCATGAGTTTAAGCCACCGGGTCCAGGACGCGAACCGTGGTCGACTACGTGGGAGTTCAACGACACAGCCATTATGCTAACTGCTGGTCCCTCCTAAACCACTTTTTGAATTGAAGAATAATATGTATTAGAATCCTTCCTCTCTCTTTTAAGGAATTCATGGGAAAGTTTTAAAATCTGAAGTTAAAAAAAAAGATAAAGAAAAATGGTCAGACAAAAGCAAAAAATAAGAAGTCACAGAGTCACAAAAAGAGTTGTGACGTGACGTGTCTACTGGAGATGGAGAAGTCAAATAACTTATTTTAGGAGTAACTATTAAGAATAAGAGCAAGAAATAATCTTTTTTGGGGAATAGCAGGTGGCATGGTGATTAAGATGCTGGACACTCCCACATGGCCGACCACGGTTTGAGTGCTGGAGCTCATAGCTTCCTTTCTCACTTTCCCTCTCTCTCTCTGTGTTTCTCTCTGGTCAAATTAAAATAAATGAATGAATACACAAAATTAAATAATTAAAAAAAGAAATAATCTTTTTGACCTTTATTTTGAGGTGAACACACAGTGCTCTAATAAGGGAGGAAAATGCAATTTTGCCTATTGTATTATCGTTCCTTAAGGTTACTGGGCTCTGGTCTCTATACTGAAAATGAAGATGCTGGGTTGAATCACTTGCAAGGACTGTCCACACACACAGTGCTGGGCCCCACCCCAGAGATTCAGTAGACCTGGGGGCAGGCCTGGAAATCTGGATTCTTTTTTCTTTTTCTTTTTTTTTTTTTTTTGCCAGAGGGCAAGTGTGCTTGCCAGAGAGAGAGAAAGAGGCAGAGAAGGGAGTAGGAGAGCAAGAAAGCACCCCCCCAATGGGTGTGGTAATGCCTTAATCCCTTCTTCATTTCTCCATCCTGTTGAGATTTTGGACACTCACTCATATGTGCCTGGTGTGTTTTTCAAACCCACTGGGGCTGGCATTTGGATTTTTACCAAGTTCTCAGGTGCTATAGGTACAGGGATCACTCTCTGGGGACTTCTGCCAAAGGCTTTCTTTACATGTGCCCTGTAGACCTCATATCTTAACTCCACTATTGGCCATGTACGATCCAGAGCCTTAACTATTATACTGATGGCTGGATCATATTTCTTTCTTTCTTTTTTTAATGAAGTTCAACAAATCCTGTTGCTTGGGACAACAGAAAAGCCAGGCCTTCCTTTGAATTGTGACTTCAGTAAGTTCCTTGGTTAGAACCTGGAGGGCAGTCATACACAATCCTGAAAAGGCTGGGGCTGGAACTGCTGCCCCATTTCACAGAGGCGCTCACTGAGAGGGACAGAAACAAAACATGAGCAGGGCCTGATGTTGAGGTCAGTCTGGTGCTCTACCTATGGCAGTTCATGCGCTCACACCCAGATCTTAGGAGAACTGGAGGAGTTTTCCTGGCCTCTTCTACAAATGCTGAGACCAAGTCAGAACTCACACTAAAAGACAAAAGGAAAAGCACAGGGGCCATGAACAGCCATGAACAGACCAAAGGTCTACAGTCATGTGGCAGAAATGGGGAGAGAAGGCCGATAGCTCTGCTTCCAGAGGGCTACCTGCTAGCACCTTACATAAAGCAATTACTCTGTCATTTTGTTACACATCATTTGACTTGACTTGTACTTAAGCCTTCTGTCATTTACCTTGGGTTGTATGTTATTTCTACTCTCCTCAATTAGACTATGACATCTGAAGGCAGGGAGGATTTTAATCTAATACATCTTTGAATGTCCAGAATGACATCAGAACAATGTACGGCACACCGGAGGCAAAAAAATAATTGCTGGGTGAATGTCAAATGGTTTTTATTCCTACTAAATTAGATTCTGACTTACATAAGAGGAAGAGAATTTGTCTACTGTTGACAGGAAAGAGAAGGCCAACAGGAATTGTGGAACAACTCAGCAGGCCACACCCAGCCAGAGGCAGGAGGTGGACGTACTCAAGGCTTCCCGAGGGAGCAGAGATGTAAGCAGGCTGTCCCATGGATCCTGTCAGCAAAGCCCAGCGGAGCCTTCCCGCCTGCTGCAGTTTGCCAGGAAGGGTGTGGGCTCAAGAGTGGACAAAACATGGGAAATAGGAGCCTGTCCAGTCTCCTCTCGCTTCCTGTTGTGCTGTGTGCCACAGCAACGGAGGAACGAACATACCGGTCACAACCAACATCCCAGTGCTCGGGTTAACAGAGGCAAACTTTACACTGCCTGAGACAATCAACTCTGGCCCCCTCTCTTTGAGCAAGGCCTTACCTCCTGCTCAGGGGTTTACTAATGGGAGGTGGAGACAGCTGCATCCTTTTCCTCCCACAACTATCAGATGCCCCCCCCTCTAGCAGTCCCTCCTCCAAAAACTGTTCTGGGACCAGTGATGTCCCAGATGATCACTACCTGCAGACACAGAACCAGAAAGGAACACCCTGGCCCAGTGAGAGTCCTGACTCGTGAGGATGGCTCAGAGGGAGACAAATCCTCTCTTGCTACAGCCTGTCGGTGCGTACCTAGTGCCTTCACAGATATCTGCCGGGTGAGTGGAGGGGGAATGTTGATGCACACCAGGTCCACATCTTGATGCAGCAACACGTCGTCGGTCCGGCTGGTGTAGAAGGTGATGTTCATTTCTTCAGCAAGCTGCTTGGCCTCCTCCTCAGTCTTCCCCCAAAGGGCCTCAACGGTGAAACCTTCTGCCCTCAGAAGGGGTACCAGGACCCGGGCGGAGCTGCCAGTCCCAAACACGCCCACTCCTGGCAGCATCTTCATCCCTGCTCTCTGCTCACCAGCTCATCTCCTCACGAGCACCTCCAGCAGGGAAAGGGGTTCCCCATGGTCCTGGTTAAACATGGCTCCTAGAACAGCAAGCATCACACTGGTTGTTAGTGGAGGGCACACCACTGAGGTGTGTATTGAGAAGGTCCTTTGCTTGGGATCAAGATCATGTGGAAAAACTTGGTTGAGATTTAGACATACTCAGGGTATTAGGTTTACCTATACAATACCCCCCTCAGCTAAAATCAGTGGTTTCGACTCCGACTATGTATTAGGGTGACCCTAGACCCATGAAGCATACTAGACTGATGAGACCACATCACCATCCATTTCTTGTTTATTTCTTTTGTAAAATTTATTTAACTTCATTCATTTATTTAAATTTTGACCAGAGAGGGACAAAGAGAGAGAGAGAGAAAGAGAGAGAGAGAGAGAGAGAGAGAGAGAGAGAAGGAAAGTGGGAAAGCTAGTTGTCAGGTTCAGGACTCAAATCGGGGTTGGCCATCTGGGAGTCTAGTAAATCTTAACCACCATGCCACCTGCTGGCCCCCATTTCTGTTTATTTCTTTAAAACTAAATTTTTATTTAGTTTTTCTTTTTTTTTTAAAGAGGTTTATTTTATTTACTTTTTGTTTTTAGAGGTTTTTGCCTTAGGACAAGTGAACTTGCCTGAGAGAGAGAAAGAGAGACAGTGAAAGAGACAGAGACAGTAAAAGGGGAAAGCCATCCCTCCCAGAGGGATGGCCATGCGATAATCCCTTCTTCTCCATTCTCTTCCTGGTATCTTGGACACACATGCACACACGTCCAGCATGATTTTCAAGCCATTAGGTGCAAGACTAGAACTACAGTCAGCCATGTGGGAGTTCAGTGATATAACTGCAAAGTTGTCATGTGGGATACAGCCTCCTTAACCACCATGCCATGGGCTGGCCCACATGATCCATTTTAGTTTGATTTTTGTATATGGTGTGAGAAAAGGGCCCAAATTCATTCTTTGCACATGGTTATCCAGCTGTCCCAATACAAATTATTAAAGAGACCATTCTTTCATTTAATGCCTTGGTATTATTGTTAATAATAAGTTAAACAAGGCCAGCAGATAGTGTAGCAGTTAAGGTACTAGACTCCTATGTGGACCACCACATTCGAGTCTCAGACTTGAAGGCTTGAAAGTCATGCCAGGAGGGCTGGTGGATGATGGAGTGTTGGTTGAGGCACTGGATTCCCACATGGCTGACTATGGTTTGAGTCCCACACCTGGCAGCTTGCTTTCTCACTTTCCTGCTCTTTGTCACTGTCTGGTCAAATTAAAATAATAATAATAAATAAAATTAAATAAATAATTCTAAGAAAGAAAGAGAGAAAGAAAGAAAATGATGCCAGGAGTGTGAACATGCATGCCCAAAAATCCCAAGAGAAGAATGGAGAAAGGATTGCTGTCTGGCCATCCCCTTGGGGGGTCATTTGTTTCCCTCTCTCTGTCTCTATCTAAGGTGAGCACATGCACCCTATGGCAAAAACCTTAAAATAAATAAATAAATACATAAATAAATAAATCAGTTGACCATAAATGTATGAGTTTATTTATGGACTCTTTTAATTCTTTTTATTTTTTTGCTATAAGGCATGTGTGCTTGCCAGAAAGATAAACAGAGGGAAAGTGAGAAATCACCCCTGGGGGGAAATGGCCACATGGCAGTTCCCTCTCCCTTTCTCCTCTTGGGATTTTGGGCATGCACCTATATGCGCTCAACATGATTTTTAAGCTGCCAGGTCTGGGACTCAACCACACAGTTGGCCATATGGGATCCAGCTGACTTAACCTACACACCGCATGCCGGCCATGGACTCTTAATTTTATCCCATTCATCTGCATGTCTGCCCTTATTCCAGTATCATTCTATTTTGTCTACTATCGTTTTGCAGTTTGGAAATCAGTGTGTGAATCTTCCAACTTGGTTCTTTTTCAAGACTGTTTTGACCCATTCTGTGTCTCTTGAATTTCTCTATGAATTTTAGGATCAGCTTACCAATTTCTGTAAAAAAAGATGTCTGGGATTTAATAGTTTGTTTTGAATCTACAGATGAATTTGGGGAATATTGTTATCTTTGATTTTGAAATTATAATTCCTGGTTTACAAATCATCTTTGGGCATTTGAATATCTTTGTCAGGTATGGTTATGTTTTGTTTTGTTTTTGCTATAGGGCACATGTGCTTGCCAGAAAGACAGAGAGAGACAGAAAGTGAGAAATCACCTCCCGGGAGGGGGGGGATGGCCACACCACAATCCCTTCTTTTCCATTCTCCTCTTGGGATCTTGGGCACAGACACACACGCTTACAGCGTGAGTTTAAGCCACCCGGTCCAGAACTCAAACCGCGGTCGACTACATGGGAGTCCAGCAACATAACCATTATGCTAACAGCTGGTCCTAATAATTCTTTTTTTTTTTTTGGAGAGGTTTTTCGCTATAGGGTGCGTGCGCTCGCCAGACAGACAGAGAGAGACATAGAGACAGAAAGTGAGAAATCACCCCCCAGAGGGGATGGTCACGCTGCAATCCCTTCTCCTCCATTCTCCTCTCAGGATCTTGGGCACGCACGCACACGCGCCCAGCGTGAGTTTTAAGCCACTGGGTCCGGGACGCGAACCGCGCGATCGACTACGTGGGAGTCCAGCGACATAGCAATTACGCTAACTGCTGGTTCCCACAGAAAGAAAATTCTAAGACAGCTAACTCCTTTACCTACCCTGATCAGGTTAATGTACATAATGTACATAATATGTCTTGGTGGGTGTATATATTTAAGTATCCGTGGCTTAATACAACAGAACAGAATGGATTAGAAAATTTAATAATCTCTGTTTTACTGCCACTGCCTCAAAGAGCAGCTTGGTCAACAACCACAAAGGGGTATCAGCGGGCCCTTGAGGAAACCAGATGGCATGAAGGTAGGCAGGCTAGATGACTTAGGTACTTCCTGCTCAAGCAGGCAGAGCTGGTTTTTCCAGTTTATTCTAGTGGCTACCCTTTCTCACCCCTAAAATTTCCCTATTCTTTGCCCTTAGGATCCTTGTATATAACCTTTTTTTTTAAAGAATTATTTCATTTAACTTTACTTATTTATTTTTAATTTGACCGGGGTGGGGAGAGAGAGAGCAAACCGCCACTTCAGGGATTCAAACCTCAGTTGGCCATGTGGGAGTCCAGTACCTTCAACCACCACAGCACCTGCCAACCCCCCATTAACCTTTCATATGCCTCCAATGATCACCACAAACCCTGCCCTGCCAAGTTCATCTGCATTCCAATGGCCACCTGCTGGTTGGGAATGAAGCCTGGAAAGTGCCTTGGATGGACTGGCTGAACACAGTTGGCCTAAGCCACAGGTTATGGGAAAGGCAGCACAGAGGTTTGGAATATGGGTTCACCTGACCTAGGTTCAAATTCTGAGTCTGCCACTTGCCAGATGGGTGGCTTCAGATAAGTCTCTTCATTATTCTGAGCCTTCGTTTCCTCTTTTCTAAAAAAATGATTATTATTATTTTTTTAATTTGACCAGAGAGAGAAGAAAGAGAGAGAGGGGGAAAGTGAGAAAACAATCCGCCAGGTGGGTTGGGAGGTGGCACAGTGGTTAAGGGCACCGGACTCCCACATGGCTGATGGAGTTTGAGTCCTGGACCTGGTGACTTGCTTTCTCACTTTCCCTTTTTCTCTCACTCTGTCCCTCTCTGGTTAAATTATAAATAAATAAATAAATACATACATACAGTAATTTTTTTTTAAAAGAATGATTTATTTATTTAATTCCATTTGTTATTAATATTATTTAATTTGACCAGACCGGGGGGGGGGGGGGAAAAGTAAGAAAGCAAGCCACCAAGTCCGGGACTTGAACCATGGTGGGCCATGTGGGAATCCAGAGCCACCACCTGCTGGCCCAATAAAATAATATTTTTAAAAAGAATTATTTATTTATTTATTTCATTCTATTTGTTATTATTTTTTTATTTGACCAGAGAGCGACAGAGAGAGAGAAAGGGCAAGAGGGAAAGCAAGCTGCAAGTTCGGGAAAGAGGGAAAGCAAGCTGCAAGTTCAGGACTTGAACCACTGTCTGTCATGTGGGAATCCAGCTCTCCTAACCACACCACCTGCCAGCCCAAAAATAATTCTTTAAGAAGAAAAAAAAGAAAACAATCCACCAGGTCCGGGACTCAAAACAGAGCTGGTCATGTGGGAGTTCAGTGCCTTAACTACCATGCCATCTGCTGGCCCCTATCCATTTCCCCTTCTGTAAAATGTGGATAATTGTATATATCTCAAAGAGTAGTTATGGATTAAATGAGTTAATATTGTAAAACACTTATAATAGGGCTTGGCCCATAGTAAGTCATACATAAGACATCTTTTTAAAAAATTTATTAATTGGGGACAGCAGTTAGCATAATGGCTATGTCGCTGGACTCCCACGTAGTCGACCCTGGTTTTAGTCCCAGACCCGGCAGCTTAAACTCATGCTGGGAGCATGTGCGTGGTGCCCAAGATCCCGAGAGGAGAATGGAGGAGAAGGGACTGCAGCATGGCCACCCCCCCCGGGGGGTGATTTCTCGCTTTCTGTCTGTCTTTCTGGTAAGCATATACGCCCTGTAGCAAAAACCTCTCAAAAAATTAATTTATTTATCTAATTTATTATTATTATTATTATTTTAGAGGTTTTTGCTATAAGGCGTGTGTGCTCGCCAGAAAGACAGAGAAAGAGAGAGACGAAAAG